ACGTGACGTTTAGGCGGTTCGTTTAACTATTATACGTGATGTACAGTTTTATGGGGGGGGGGGGGGGGTAATGAAAGTGTTCCAAAACGCGACAATAATTTCTTGACGACCTAATATTTACATTAGGCCTATATCACTGTCATTGCCATCAGATGAGCTGGACATAAAATGGACCTAAAAACAAAATGTATGTGAAGTTTTTAATTTTTGAACTTATAAAGATATATTACGTAATTACATTGTTAATATAATGTTAATATGTGAATAATTATCTAAATTATATTTTACATAATGTTTTCTGTTGATTCTAGCCTATTAAGGTAATCTACTCTAAATCATTTAGGTTCCGAGTCTGATGTTAGTTTTTTTATTTTTTTGCAAAGCAACATCAAATTGTTAGGCCTAATGAAGGCCAGGTTTACGGTTGTATTATTAGTTTAGTATTGAAGCGAAATTTTGGCTTTAGATAAACCAGACATTTTTATTTTTTGGTAAACAGTTTATGGCATCAATTACATTTAATGCGCCATTTTAATCACAATTATTTATTATTGCAAAAACAAGGATATTTTGTAATAATATATAATTGTGATTTAAGTGATCTATTACTTTATTATTTAAATACTACAAGATATATGAGTAAATCATTTAAATTCTGTACTTAAAATACAGATTTATGTACAGTGTAGTGTCATTTTTCTACCTCTTAACCAAATCATTTGTTTGGTGTTTGCTTCGCACTTCCTATATAAAATTTATTGCTATATTTTTATTGTTGCGATTTGTTTCGACACAATTCAAATAATTATGTGAAAGAAAAACAGACTGACCTTAAGCTACTGCTGTCACCCCGTGGTGACTTTCTTTACTGTCCCAAACTCCAATTAACCTGTAAATTTTTGGGCTAAGTAAGTAAAAAAACAAACAAAACTTTACTTACCACCACTTTTGAGTACATAGTTCTTTTTTCTATTGTTTCCGAATCGGGGCATTTGTACCCTGTAACGTCATCCTTTGTCAAGAATATGGGAACTTTGGCCTGGACCACATGTTCCATACTTCTAAAGTAACCAGCTGTGTGCCCATCCTCGGAGATCACAGAAAACCAGCCTGAAGAACAAAGAGTTATTGAAAATATGAAGTAGTGAATGTTTTCAGCAAATATATCATCATAAATATAAAAATATAAAATAAAACTTGTCCAACAAAACAAAAACCAGAAGTTTCGTGTCACAATAGCTTGCTTGTCTGTTATCGAACCCCGATTTTTAGCGTTATAAGTTCTCATGAACCATTACAAGACTACACTATACCTAGAAAGATCACGAGATTTAAGGCAAAGACGTGAAAGTTCGAGAAAGACGTAGCGTGATACTAGTTACGTGACCTCGATGTCGCAACAATATAAAAATATAAAATATAACTTGTCCAACAAAACAAAAACCAGAAGCTTCGTGTCACAAGAGCTTGCTTGTCTGTTATCGAACCCCGATTTTTAGCGTTATAAGTTCTCAAGAACCATTACAAGATCACACTCAATAGTCATATATAATAAATTACATTTTTACACCATCTAAGACATTATTATTACTTTAGAATTTTCCTGTTTCGTTGTTGGAAATTATCGAGCTACCTAAAAAATGTCAGTGTGGCTTATGATTGGCTCAAACTAAAGCATCTATCGTCATTTACAGAGTAGTAATACTGTTATTATTTTGTATCCAGGGTGTTCATGTATTTTGTGTACATTATATTAGGCTTAGCTTGGAATATCGTAAGAAATGGTACTGATATATCGGAAAGAAATCAGATAAAACACCTAAAATGACTCCAGGGATAGAATTACTTACACGGATTACTTATGGAAAGAGGTTAAAATATTTTAACTTATTTTGTCTTGAGAAAAAATGGCGAGAGGCAATCTTATATAAGTTAAATTGGGACTTTGAAAGAGGTGGGCTCCCCTTTTGTGATCCCCTTTGTAGTAGCAGCGTGGGGTAACAGGTGACATACACTTTGTGGTTGGTACTTAGTAGTAGCAGTGTGGGGTAACAGGTGACATACACTTTGTGGTTGGTACTTAGTAGTAGCAGTTTGGGGTAACAGGTGGCATACACGTTGTGGTTGGTACTTAGTAGTAGCAGTGTGGGGTAACAGGTGACATACACGTTGTGGTTGGTACCTAGTAGTAGCGTGGTTCAACAGGTGACATACACTTTGTGGTTGGTGACGGTGCTGTCGATTACAGAAGTCCAGGAGTTAGCCGTTGGTGGTGTTGACTATCTGCGGTCCATTTAGTCCATCGATTCAAAATTAGGAATGGCTAGCACACATAGCACTTATGTAGTTGTGCGCGAAACAAAATAAACCTGCTAAGGAAAAATAAATGAAATAATAAACGCGTTTAATAATCTAATATCTAACTAGGAGACAAAGGACATTAAATTCTACTTCATGATTTGTCGTAATAATATCCAAGCCGCTTACAGAATACCTTCGTGGAAGTATCCGTTACTTAGTTTCATAGCAAGGCCAATGACCGTGCCAACCAGACGACTTGGTGTATATTTAAAATACCCAACAAGGTCACTATCCTGAGCTGCGTATATATTTTACCATGAAGATATTGAAAACAAAAAAGTTGCACGCATGGTTGCACGACAGTAGTATTTAATTGATTAATTCGTGTTCCAACAGAGGGCGCCCAAGACGTCCGAGTCTACCGATGAAAATTATTACGTCCGACATAATATAAACAGCCTAATAACGATGTTGTTGTTACTTGTTTAGTACAAAGCCAAATTGTGTTATCTGCTCTGTTCACCGCGGGGAATCGAATCCTGGATTTTACCGTTGTAAATCCATAAATGAGGAACAACGATAGAATTTTGAATAACAGCTCTAGGTTTGACTATTACACAAAAAACTGAATCGTACGTTGTTAACGGACAAATGTAATCATAAAAAAATTACCTCTCATTCACGCTCACTAACAATACTTACAATATTTGTAAATCATGATAATATAATAGTGTCTAAAATACGTAATAAAGAAAAAAAATGTTTAATTTGATTTACTGTCGTTTAACTTTTAATTATAAAATAGTGATAGCTTGAATCTCTAAATCAGGCCTACGTCAATCATTCTTTACGTTCGGTACGACTACACGTGTTCTGCTATGTTTCCAAAAGAATACATACCCCAGTGGCACAGCGGTATGTCTGCGGACTTACAACGCTAGAATCCCGGTTTCGATACCCGTGGTTGGCAGTGTGTTGCTTTGTGCTTAACTTCAAATAAACTCTCCAAAAATATCATAAAACAAGAACAAACAGAGAGATTACATACCCCCCATGGTGTAATGAGGAGTCTCAATCTTCATGTGCCCATGAAATTTAGTACAAATCTCATCACGGTTTACAGAGTTATTAACCGAAAACCGCGAAAATGCCCTATTTCCCAATTACAAAAAAAAAAAAAAAAAAATGCTTCAAAGTGATTGGGATTTGGATGCGGACAAAATTTGGCGAAGGCTGTCCCATACTGACTGCTGTATTTTATCGGTATGTCTTGAAAACCTCGAAGGGTCAAGTTCGTTGACCTCTTCCTCCCTCCTGCACGATGTTGCATGGCTTCTGTTGAATGTGTGTGTGTGTAGATACAACATGAGGATCAGAGTAAGGTGCATTTACACCGAACCCCTTTCAGGACAATGCCCATGTAGATATCAACAGTTACATTCCTATGTTGATAGGACAATGTCCATGTAGGTATCAACAGTTACATTCTTGTGTTGATAGGACAATGTCCGTGTAAATATCAACAGTTATTCAATGTGTTGATAGGACAATGTCCATGTAGGTATCAACAGTTACATTGATGTGTTGATAGGACAATGTCCATGTAGGTATCAACAGTTATTCATGTGTTGATATGACAATATCCATGTAGGTATCAACAGTTATTCATGTATTGATAGGACAATGTCCATGTAGGTATCAACAGTTACAATTCATGTGTTGATAGGACAATGTCCATGTAGGTATCAACAGTTATTCATGTGTTGATAGGACAATGTCCATGTAGGTATCAACAGTTATTCATGTGTTGATATGACAATATCCATGTAGGTATCAACAGTTATTCATGTGTTGATAGGACAATATCCATGTAGGTATCAACAGTTATTCATGTATTGATAGGATAATGTCCATGTAGGTATCAACAGTTATTCATGTGTTGATAGGACAATGTCCATGTAGGTATCAACAGTTATT